TTATGCATTAAATTTTATGAATTAAATGTAAATAAATATTTATTGTACAATTTTTAAAATTAGGTTAAATTTAAAACTTTTAATTTAAAATTTTAAAAAATAAATATATATTGAATTCAAAAAATCTTTACGTAATTAATTAATATTGTTAGTATAACAAATTATTGAAAAAAAAAATCCAAACTTGGCTGCTAAAATCTCCTAAAGCATCTGCTGACCACACGACAGGCCGGCGGTCCCAACTACCAAGTCCCACTCGGCCGCCGCGACGGTCTGAAGTTCGCAACACGCAACGTCACACTCGCCAGCCTCCCCGCCCCGACCTCCAACGTCTCCGTCATCCTCCCCATCCTCGCTCGCATCAATCTCGACGCTTCCGACCTCGTCGCCCTCTCCGGCGGCCACACGATCGGCCGCGGCCACTGCGCCTCCTTCTCCAACCGCATCTTCCCCTCCCGTGATCCCACCATGGACCAAACCTTCTTCAAAAACCTCCGCCTCACTTGCCCTTCTTCCAACTCCACCAACACCACCGTGCTCGACATCCGCAGCCCCAACGTCTTCGACAACAAGTACTACGTGGATCTATTGAACAGGCAGGGGCTTTTTACCTCCGACGAGGATTTGTATATGGATTCCAGGACGAAGCAGAGGGTCATCGATTTTGCGCTGAATCAGTCGTTTTTCTTTGAAAGATTTGGGTTTTCGATGGTGAAGATGGGGCAGCTGGGCGTGCTGACGGGTGGGAATGGGGAGATTAGGAGCAACTGTTCGGCGAGGAATGCGGGGAGGATTTCGATGTGGCAGGTGGGGGAGGAAGGAGACAGTGCTGCTTATTAGGTCTGGCGTCGTCGGTGTGTGTGTATTAGGGTTTTGTAATAAAACGGAGAGTTGATCGTGGATCCTCTTTCTGAGTTTTGTAATAAGCAGATCTTGTGTTGATTTTGTGAATGAAAATGTTTCATGCTAATTTTAAATTTTATTTTCTCGTCGAATTAATGTTTATTCGCCATTTTTATTCATGCAATT